TTCCCACCAAATCACATTAAAAGATATTCTGCTCTCTCTTTCTTGTAAAACAATAAAGTTGTGTACGAAAGGGTGAAATGAATGAATATGAGTGAAATATGAAAATAAATTACAAAATGATTCTCTTATAATTGTGCATATTGAGATATTCTCTTATAAAACTCACAAAGCAGTATAGTATTTTTCTGAAGATAGGTAATATATGTAACAGGAAATACAGTGATACTATACAGACTTTTTTGCATTGAGATGAAAATGTTAGAAGGCTGAGTACCTCCCATCCCTGAGTGGATATACAATAACATAGGTGATGCATTCTTCTTAGGATTTCACCTACATGTTCAGAATATCTGACAGTTGTCAACTTCTTATGTATAGTATATTCTCTGGGAGATATTGGGACATTCCCAGATAACAGGTCAACTAACTCAATGGATTATTTTATTACCAGTACAAGCTCACTTTTCGCAAGGAGACTCCTCACTTCTTACAACCCTGGAGACTGATGTCTGCTATTTATCCACAAAATAGGTACAGCATGAATAACCGTAGCTTCCCACACTGAACCACCCATTAATATGCCTCAGACTGACCAGAAAGACAGTCCAGGATCTTGGAATGGTGAGCCTGCTAACAAGAGAACTACTTAGTGAAATTCTGATGAGGATTTATTATGAGAATAATAGCTACATTCTTTATGATAAAGAGTCTATTTCCTGTATAATAGCTCAAGTTTCTGCTGGCCTTCTAAATAACATGGTAGATAGAAAAGAGGACCAAATTAAAAGTCTTTCCTACTTTGACCCTTACTATGAATATAGCTTAAAAATTAACCTTAATTCTGTGAGGGGAAAAAGTCACTGAAGTCCAGACAATGATGAGTCAAATGATTCAGATACCCGAGCCTGTGACTAACTTGAAACTCAACTGATGCATGAAATTAATAAACACAAGGAAAAAATTACACTTCCATGCTTTGATCCTCTTTATTTTATCTAGACAGCAGATCATGTTGAGCGTTCAAGTTTTGGCATCTTTCCAGTTACGATTTGGAATAGTCTCCCAATTCTACCATGCTCTGTTTTGCAGTAAACAGTGTCAAATATTAAACATTGAGGAAAATACTTTAATCACTGCTTCTTCCTAAGTTTACCATTCCCCTTAAAAGAAAGGATTTATCAAGCTGTAAACTCCTGAAAAAGCCAGTAACAAAGATTTAAAAAGATTAAGACATTTGATACCTATGTTAGCTCAGTGTAAAAATCATCCAAGTCACATATGAACCCTAAATAGTTAATACTGATCCATTACTGAATGGAAACTTTGTTTAAAGAAAAATAAACATGGGACACTTTCTAGCAATCCTACTCTTCTAGGACACCATACTGTCTTAAAAAAAAGCTTATATAGATATTCTATAGTTTAGAATTCACAGCTCTTTTCTCAGATGCATACAGCATGGTACATTTTGCATAGTACAGAATATATACTTGCAATATGTATTAATTCTGTGGATGTCTAAACTGCAATAAAATTTGCACTAACATTTTGTGACAAGCCACGTTACTGTGATCTGTTTGCTGGTGTACAGAAGCAGGAACTTGGGACCTGACCTTTAAGTAGCCATTACAGCCTGTTACCTAGAAAAATTAGGTACATATCCTTCAAAAGCAATAATCTGCACCAGCTTTACTGTTATGAAAGGAACTTTTTATAAAGTGGTAAATAAGTAATTACAAATAAATAACTATACTTTAAAATGCTGCCTAGGACATTAAGAGACTCACCTAACAATGTGTTGTGATCTATCCCACTTTTAGATGGAGACTGCTGACAGAGATATGCTCCTTGCTGAAAGAATCACATAACTGAAAAAAAATAAAAATAAAGAAGCCAAACGAAAAAATCCTCGAAGTTGTATATGTTAAATTAAAAGCCATGTTTGAAGAATGTAATGAAAAATATATTGGATACAATCCGCAGCTACACTGAGAAAAAGGTGGCTGTAGGCTGCCTTTATGCCTTCCCTGATCGTGAGTCAGCTGGGTAGCTGAACAAGCCTCCCTGCATAAGTTAGAGCAGCCACGGGGCTACTTTAAGTCATGCCAATTACAATACTCTCCTTAGGAATTTTTTTCTAGGTGGGGATTGGCAGAACACATCATATACCAACCCTTCCGCTTTCCCTCTAGCCCCCAAAAGCTCATCCCCTCTTCTGAGGCACCCATTGCACCAGTGGAGGAGAAGGAGTGGAGCAGAGAGCTACTGGCGTAAAACCAGCTATGTCAGCTTTACTCCAGTCCAAGATTCCATCATGTCAGGCGAATCCTCAGGTGCTGCTGGCAGCTTTAACGTCACTGTGTGCTGCTCCAGTGGCACAAAGTGATCTCATTAGGATTGAGGATCCAGCCCACAGCCTGAGGAGCAAGAGAGAGACTAACTTATAGGGAAACTTCTTTGCCCTCTTTTCCACAGAGAAAGTTTCCACTATCAACCCTATCTTAAGACTCTCTGCTGCATATCTGTAGCGCTATTTACATTATTTATCATGCTCAATTAAAATAGGCAGGAGTAGTGGTGAATCGGCCAATATGAAGGATACTCTTCGCTATTACGGATGTCAACTACAAGCAGTTTTGGCTTGCTAGATTTGGTTTTCTTTGTAGGCGTTTTGAAGTGACTAGGTCCCGTCAGCTCACACAAGTCAATCAGATCTTCTGCTGAAATCCGTGGCGACACTTCCGCCTTCAGGTCATTCAACTGGATAGAGTCCCTAGACTTTAAAGAGAGAAAAATAAAATCTTTAAAATGATGTAACTATTTATTTGCAGTGTTATTGTAGCTGTTGGCCCCTGATTGTTAGAGAGACAGAGTAGGTGAGGTTAATATCTTTTATTGCTCCAACTTCTGTTGGTGAAAGAGATGAGCTTTCGAGTTTACACAGACCTGAAGAAAATCTCTGTACAAGTTCAAAAGCGTTGTCTCTTTCATTAATGAAAGCTGCTCCAATAAAAGATATAACCTCACCTACCTAGTTTCTCACTTAACTGTTTAGGCATTATCCAGCATTCATTGCAACTTCTGCTTCATATGATCATCCTAAATATAAAAGTGAAGTTTTGCAGAGAAACATTCCTTTCTTGTAACTACAGAAAAGTTTGAGATAAGCCATATAGCACTGCATCTAGAACTTTTCAAATTATTCATTGTGGATAGTTTATCTGAAAAACTTAGCTTTATTTTCTGTTTGAAAATTATCCATAAATAGATTTTTATGAACATGTCATTTGTAATTGTTTGAGGAATAGCTAGTGAAAACAAATTTTAGCCTGTTCTTGGTTCATGAAGTGTTCACTACCGATAAGATCCTCCTTCACTCCAGCCACTTTAGGCAAGGTAAAAGGGCCCTAAAAGCCTTGGATCTCTCCAGAGGAGGACTTCCCTAGTTCAAGAACTGATGTAGACAGCCACAAGTTGTCCTTCGAGGATCCCCTTGAAAGCCCTCATGTAGAGGACATGTCAGGAATGGGATGAATGTGAAGTGAGTGGGGAGGAGATTTTGGGCAGCAGTAGGGCCCATAGGTCAACTGGGAAACCCACCATAATTTAGACTGTTCCATGGAGCTGTCTAAATTATGACAGAGGCTACTCCAGTCCCAAGAGTAGCTCAGGATCAAGAGGATGCAAAGATGACTTAGAGCAACCGTAACCTCCCCTGATCTGTGAGTTCTGTCCTGCATCTATGAAGTGCAGCACAGAATCTCTCCCTGTGCCCTTTCACTATTTATTATTCCTCCATTGAATCATATTTTTGGTCACCTAAGTCACTTGGTATTGTTTCTGGATGAGCTAAGCTTTATAAAAATTATTTGGGAACACTCAGCTAATTTATTGTGGTGCCACAGAAATACTCTATTATTTGCCCAACAGCCTTTCCATTGTGAATGCGCTCACAAATATTCAGAAGCACTAGAATCTGTGGTGCTTTTGCTTTTTGTTGTTATTGTGAAAAAACACATGTAATTAAGCCTCACAAAAAAGAACAAAATAATGCATAATGAACACCATCAAAGTGAATCAGTGCATCTTATTCACAAATATATTTTGTGAACAGTATATATTGATAATTGCTGATGAATACAAAACCACTAAATTACAGTAGAGTTTATGTACAGGGAATTTCAGTGAGATGGTCACAAAATGCAGAAAGGTGGGCCACAAAGTGTGGTAGAGCTTTTCCAACCATAGTGCTTATTTATAATTGTGAAATGGCTGAATTTTTAAGAAGTTAACTTTAAAACAGCTCCTCATTGTAGAAGAATCACTTCTACCAAATCCAATGCATTCCATAAAAAAAAAAGCCATGACAAACAGATATACTTTGCAGCATGCTCAAAAGGCCAGCAAACTCAAGCTCTGTAAGAGTGATGCAGGGAATTGAATTCCAGTCGTGAAAACTCATTGAGAATGTCCAGTTACCAACACCCTGGTGTTTAAATCTAGAGACTGTTGAAAATCCCAGCTGATCTCATGAGAAATGGTAAAATACCCAAGGACTTAAAATAGTAGAATGCATTACACCACCCATGTTATCTCTAAACAGGACTGAGCCAAAGTGAGTTAGATCATTTTCACCAGTAACCTCACAGCAATTTTGCGTCAGCAGCTAATGGATCTCTATGGGGAAGTCTCAATACTTCAGCTTCAAATGTTACCAGCTTTAACTTTTCAAAGCACCCATACCAAAGCAAACATTAATTTTTTCTACATTTAGAAAATCCAGCACAGGACATGTGGTTCAGAGGCTTCAATGCACCATTGCGTTGTGTTTTACTGTAGTCTGCAGAAGTAGCATGTACCTATCACCACTTTGTCCGCTTGTCTCATTGCCTAGTAATGGCATTTACAGGCATCTGATTTCCATAATATTTTAACCTAGCAGTAAAGAGTTAATGAAGTCAGTCACGTATGCACAAAGGCTAAATTCAGCTCCACTGTGCCAAAATGTAGCCCTGCTGTATGTGACTCCAATGGAGCTTTTCTTGCTTACACCAGGGCTGAATTTGTCCCTATGCAACTGTTGTGCTCCTACTGTGTTTGAGGTCAAATATAGGAGAAATTTTATAACTTCTGAGTGTTCAGCTGTTGCCAGTGAATTATTCCAGCTTGTCTGGAGACAAATATGTGCAGGATAGCTGGGAACTGCTAGAGTGAGCATCTTCTGGAAGCTGTTTAGACTACTGCTTTGGTGACTGTTACTGGTGGAATACTTTTTCTGTGTTAATTAAAAGGTAGCTATTTTGTTTAGAAAATCCAAATGTGTGCTTTGCAATTCTTCCATACACAACAAAGGTGCTGGGGCCACTTCTCCCCAATGCAGATATTACTCTCATTAACATTACTGGACATTATATGCACATCAAACAGTAAATACAGCCCAGATGTAAAATACAAAATAGAAAAATTAAAAATCTAAAAATGGTCCCTACATTACTGGTGAACGTTACTGCATTGATTTTAAGAGTTAAATATATAAAGTGCTGTTTAAGAGCAGGATTATTCTAAGAGTATCGGGGGCTGAATTTTATGCTTAGCGAAAAACAGAACCATAGTTCATGGAATTATCTTTGCCATCTAATCTCTTGTATATACGTATGGGTATGTTGATACTGATTCAGTACCTAGCTTATCATTTGCTTTGCAATTTGTACTTATCAATGAGGAAACATATACATAAGAGAACAGGCGTGTTAGCAATCAGGAGACACTGAGACACTTTAATCAGAGTATTAAATAGAGCTGAGGAGAAGACTGTTTTCCTGTCCCATGAACATTTTCAAGATATCAAAACATTTTCCCGTCTCAAATTAGGATGAAAAGTCAAAATCTTGACAATTTTTGCAAATCAAAAATCTGAAAAAAAATTTGCTCTGAGTCAATCAAAACAATTTCTAAACATTTCATTTTGGTTTTGATCTTCTTCCTTTTTTTAAGCTTTAAGTCTAAATTTAATAAACTTCAAAATAAAAACTCAGAAAAATTAAATTCAGAAAAATTAAGCTTATTACCCCCCAAAATTTCAAGTCAGATTTGTCAAAACCAATTAACTGTTTTGCAAACAGTTTCAGTTCTGATGAATCAACATTTTCCAGCAACTCCCCCCCCCCCGCCAAACAACAACAGTGCAATGAAAAATGAGTGATCAGGTCTGGTATTAATTAACTCAAGTAATTACTGCTAGCACTAACCCTTGCTTCAGCGGTGTGCTGTAAACATGTGCTAGCTTATATTGATTCAGCAGAACCTCAAAGATACGAACACCAGAGTTACAACCGGACACCATGTGAAACCGGAAGTAACCAATTAGGGAGCAGTGGGGACCAAAGAAAGAAAGAAAAAGCAAATACTGTACTGTACTGTGCCTGTATTGCATCTTAAAAGTAGGCACATCTGGGCTGCATGTCCCTACGTATGGGGCAGCTACTTACAGCTAGGAGGTGATGACATTGGGGCTGCCAGCCCAAGGCAGCTGGAGTCGGCAGAGCAGGAGCAACGCTGGGGTCTGTGCTGTTTTCACACACCCACCCCACCGGCCGGGAGAAGGATGCACGTTTTTTACCTCCCCCCCTCCGGTCAAGAGGGGGACGCGCTGTTTTTATCCCCTCCCCCCGTCCGGGAAGGGGACAAGGTACAAACTCAGTCCGAAAGAAGCTGCCTGCAAGGAAGCTGCCAGCGCTGAGGAGGGAGCAAAGCTGGAGCCTGGCCTGGAGTGTCAGCTGCTGGAGCCCAAACTGCGCTTTGTTCGGATTTACGAACATTTCAGAGTTATGGACAACCTCCATTCCAGAGGTGTCTGTAACTCTGAGGTTCTACCGTATTATTAATTTCCCACTCAAAATATAGTTTATTATCTTCTCTACAGTTTTGCTACAAACTAGGAAAAGAATTACATTAATGTGCTGGAGAAACAGTAAAGGCAAAATGAAGCTATACAACAAAGGGATGTTGTAGTGGTGTGGTACAGCATACCTCCGAAAACAGACCTTAGCCAGCCTATCTACAGTTACACTTACCTTTGCTATGATCAGGCAATCAAAAGGTATTCATAATTATAGACAGCATCTACTGGACTAAAAAGAATATGCTAACTTACCAAACTGGTTTTTCTGGTCAGTCTGTTATAGTCTTCAGAACACAATAACTTAGAAATCTGTGGTCTCGGTTATGAGATATACTCAGCATGCAGAATTTTTTTACCCCAGTGAAAATAATAAAGGACAATTTATGACAAAAAGACACCCCTGAGTTTCTAGATAATATACTGTTAATTTAAGTACAACAGAATTCTCAAGAGTAAAAGAGTATTGTAACCTTAATTCAGCCACCATGTACCTTTGCATTAGGACAGTTTTTAATTATATGACTACATACTATTCCCCCCTCTCCCCCCCAGGATACCTGCCTAATTCAGTGCACAGGACTGATGCACACAGGGTAAGAATTAAGGTTGAACAGGCAACCTTAAATCTGGTATTTCCTATGCTTGTATAATAGAAGTCATAATCATCAAAATTCTACATTATCCCCAATGGGTAAATAGGAAACAAGTGCTCCATAAGTAAGACTATGCCTACACTATGAGCTAGGGATGCAATATCCCTGCTCACATACACATACTTGTGCTAGCACTCATTGAGCTACCAGGAGTATAAATAGCAATGTAGCCACAGTAGCATGGGTAGCAGCAGTGGAAGCATGACTGAGCTGTGCTCAGTACA